GCATCTTAGGTTTGTTTAATGCATCCTCATCAGCGGTGTGACCCTTTGATCTTTTACTTATAAATTCTGTGTCTGATACCAGCTCACTAACACCCGAAGATGGAGCGAGGCTCTGAAAGCTTGTGTTTTCAAATGAACCTGTTGGACTATAACCAGGTGTCGTGTGATTTCTGACCTAAAGCTGAAATGTAATTTGAAACGGCAATAACGCAACACACTGTGATATGGAATATACCCATTCTATTGACAAAAGATATTTTTCAGAATGGTTTTCTTCCTGCAGTCTGAGGGTGTGAACACCTTCTTGGGATACAGTCCCATGCAAGAGCCAACCAGGAATCCTCTAGATCTCCTGCCAAAATTAGCCTAATGTACACGTTTCCATTTAACCATGGGGACTTTCCAATTGAACCTTCTCCCATCCTGACCCCAGATCCATCCACACATATGATGCAGGACAGATCAATAAATCAGGACCAAAACTGAGTTGATTTTTCATCCCCCATCCAGGAAGTTCCCAAGGCCAATTGAAGTGCCATCCTAGAATCAACTAGATGAGCAAATTGAGGAGAAAATGGGAGAATCCAAGAGAAGAAATGCATTCAGCAGAAATTCCAGTTGTTGAGGTTAAGTATTTTTGAAACCGCTTCATGCTTTTGTACTTACCAGGCAGACAGAGAAGGACAAGGCAAGCGGCTCTTGCAGCCATGTCTGCGGTCAAGATGTGCTTGTCGGAGAGTTAAAATTCCAGGCACACTGTCATGGACAAACAAATAGGGAGATGTTAGCAGGGAAACAACTGAGAATTGCATAGAATGGATTAGATCAAGCTGTTCCCATTGAGACTCTTCATTGTTTACCGTTTAAATACAGTAACTGAAACCAGGGGACAATCTATTCAAGTCCCCATTAACTGCAGTCAAACAGAACAGCCCAAAAGGAGACAATTGAAATCTGAAGGGCCTCCATTCCTCCCACCCTCAGTCTGGCAATACAAGTCCCATTTGTA